TCTTTATCGAAAGATCTTGTAGCACAGAGAATGAAAATTATTGTATGATTAAGCGGATTAGATATAGAAACCATGACATAGGAATCTCAATATGATCGACTTAATAAATATATAATATGGAAATTATACGTAAACACTGAACTATAAACATGAGGCATCTCCTTTTAGTAAAAGTGTATTCGTTCTGAGACTACTCAACTCCTTATCAACGATTTGTTGGAAGCAACTGCATGTGCAGTACACAGCTTTCTTTCCTTCCAGGGCTCCAATACCAGCCAGGCAAATCAGAAACGAACGAGGAAGAAATGTTGACAACTCGGTTGACAACATAAATATGGACTTGGCAACAATTCTCAAATGGGGATCCAATAACTTGGTAGATTTCAATGCAAACAGGACAAAAGCATGCCTTTTCTCTAGAGAAGCCGATCTCACTGTGCCCAACATAAGCTTGTCAGGAGTAACCATACCTTTGAAGACATCCATTTCGATGCTTGGTATCACTATCAGCTATAACATCACTTGGGAAAATCACTTGAGATCAATTGCTAAAAGTGCATCCCAAAAACTTGGTTTCCTGTTTCGAGCCAGGTGCTATTTCACTTCCAGTAAGCTGCTTATATAATCTATATCTATAAGGCACAGATCCGACCTGTCCTGGAAAACTGTTCCCATATTTGGAGTGCAGCACCCAAACATACCCTGAACGCCTGAAACTGTGGGAGTCTGTTCAAAAAAGGGCAATTCGTCTCGTGGGTGATGCCTCGCTCACAAACTCACTCACTTCTCTGGAACACCGTAGAAAAGTTGGCGATCTGGCTCTATTTTATAGATATTTTCATGGACGATGCTGTTCTGAAATATCAACAATTGTTCCTCCCTTGGCAGTCCCCACGAGATTAACCCGTCGAGTTGAGGCTTCGCACCCCTTCGTGGTCATTTTGGAGACCTGCAGAATATCTCTTTCCAAAGACTCGTTCATCCAACGAACAGCGAGGCTATGGAACACATTGCCAAGGGAGGTGTTCCCCGAGGCAATTCCTACCTTATTTCCCTTGGTTCTCACTATGTTCTCTGAACATTACAGGATATCCCTTTTCGTGGGAACCAGAACATAAAAAAAGGTACATTCCACACCAGTCTAGTTCATCTCCACCTGGTTTTGTGAAGGTGTATTATAGATTACACGCAAACTCAAGAAAGTATCAAAATGTGATGAAATCATGATAAAAGTTTAGAATCAGTTCAATCAAATATCGAAATTCAAGATTCAAATAACATGCTCCTCAATTAAATTTTTCTTCATTTGTTTGAATTTTTTTGTTGCAGGTATATAACGAATCAGCTGATACATAGAGCTGTTTTGCTGTTTTGTTCCCAAATAATAAAAGTCATGGAATTTCGAAAAAATAGTCCAGTGCAACTGCCTGATATAGTCACAATTCCTTTTTCAACCAGTTTAGTAGGACAATCACAATTAAAATTCTACAAAACAAAATTTTAATGAAAATGCTGAAAGAGACTGCGAATCTTTAACGTGGTGGATATCGTGAAATGATTCAGATGCAATAATTTATTCTCATTTTATCTTGTTCAAAATAGAATTCCTGTCTTTTTTGAGGTCAGTGGCCAAATCGTTTCCTTACATCTTGCGAGACATCTTGATCCACGATTCAATTTACTCGAATTTACATGAATCTTGAATCCTCTTAGCTAATATAAGAGCATCAAACCTCAACCAGCATATGATATCGTTTCTGCTCAATTCTGTATCTCATTTAAATATCCGACAACAACAACTACAACAAGGAAATTACTGTTGCCGAAAAAAATTTCAAATGTTTTGTGGTGTCATATATCATTTCATTGAATCAAAATGTCATCCCGTTTCACCAAAAATGTACAGAAATCCCGAGAGAAATCCTAGGCAATGCAGTTCTCGGTACCCCTTTCCTTTACATTTATCTTAGTTTCCAATAGGTATTGAGGAAGTAAAGAAATAAAAAAAAAATAGTTTGATGTAACGTTTTTTTTTAGTGCACGTGGTACCTAAGCAGTTGCCTAATCCGCCTTATGTATTTTATAGCCCTGGATTTCCTAAGCCATACTCGATCACGATTTGATCGTGACATTGAATTGGAAATAAATTCGACGTCGAGTTCATCATATATTGTACGACAATCGACTATCGTGAAAATTGAATCTCTCTACGGAGAACAAGGTAGGTAAAATATAAAACTTCCAATCGAAGCGAAGCTCACCTGGAATAGTTCTTTTATACCAGCCTTGGACTTGGTTTGAGACGGTTTGAGATGATTACTTCACATTTCAATTGTTTGAAACCATACAAGAACAGGAGATTCAAGTAGAATAGGTATTTGAGGACCGAGTTGAGGACGTTATTCTTAATTTGAAATAATACTCATGTATATCACAAATTCAGCTGGTATCTCGGTAGGTACTTAGTGGTGGTGTAAACTACACTACAAAGAAAGTGAATGAGCAGACTTATGATAATACCTTAGGGTTAGGGAAAATAGATGATAACAGGTTTCATACGTGATGATGGTCGTGGTTCCTATGATTGATTCAGTAACATTAGGCCACTCTTGGTGGGAGTCCAAAAACAAATCAGGGCTGGATGCTATTATATAACTTCCAATGGAAGCAAAACTTACCTGGACTCAATGTTGTTCGTACCATCGGTCAGATGCTGGTATAGTGCATCGTCAACATGTCTCCAGTTTTGTAGTTCGTTTGAGACTCGGTTTGAGATGATTTTTTTCATGCATTTGCTCAACAAGAAATATCAACTTCAAATTTGAATTCTTTTAAAGAGCATATATACGGAAAGGAGACTGGTGTAGTGCGTTATTGATGACTTTACTCTTATTTTAAAATTAGAATTCTTTTTGATGCTTACCTCGATACTCACCTAATAGAAATTTAGCTTAATGGTGGTGTATATGCAACACTACAATGAAAGCAAATGAGGAACATACCAATATGTCAACATCTCGAGGACGAGTAACAGGTATCAAAATAATATCATGTGATGATCGTGATTCCAATTTTTTGAAATAGTAACCTATGCTATTCTTGGGTAGGAGTTCAAGAACAGTAGAGGGCAAAATATAGGTGATTCATAAAGAAATGTCGAGGAAATGTGTACCTTACCTGGAATCAAATTCCATACCATCGGTCAGACGGCCGTTATATTGCATTGGCAACATGTCTCCAGTCTTAGACTTTGAGAAAGGAGACTGAAGTAGTAGGTTTTTGATGACGTTACTCTTATTTTGAAATTCAAATATTTGTGTGCTCGCTTGTGTATATCACAAATATAGCTCAGTGTTGGTGTAAACCACAGTACAATGAAAGCAAAGGAACAAACCTTACGTCAACATCTGGAGGAGGAGAGGGGGGAAAGATGATGAGTAACAGGTGTCAAAATAATATTATGTGCATGATGATCGAGATGATGATGATCGTGATTCCAATCTTTGATATACCTAGTTACCTATGCTTTTCTCGGTTAGGAGGTCATAAACAGTTAAGGGCAAAATATAGGTGACTCATAAAGCAATGGGAACGTTACTTGGAATCAAATATCCTCGCAAATTTCGCACCATCGGTCAGAGGGTCGATATATTGCATTGCCAACATGTCTCCATCACTTCGTTTGAGATGATTAGGTACTTCACATTTGAATTATTCGAGAAAGCAAAGGAGACTGAATTTTATGATTCTTTCAAGTAAGAAATGTTTTATATCTTTATCCCAGATGAAATGAATTCTCTCGATCTCAGAGATTTTTCTCCAATCACCACAATCACTGGTCCAAATATGCGTTGATTCATTTTCTTGAGTTTTGAACGCTAGTATCATGATATTGAAATCATTCGGAGCCCCAATGCATAAATATAACATCTTTCATCTCATGCCAGGTCATGAGGGTTCTCCTCGGGGTTCTCGTTTTATTCGTAAACGTCATTCTGTTTCCACCACCGTTACCAGAATGGAACAAATAAAACGCAACTATCATACGTTCAAAAACAGTTGAGGGCCGAAGATAGGCGATTTATGAAGCAAAGCAAACCTTACCTGGAATCAAATTTCGTTCCATCGGTCAGAGTACCGCTATAGTGCATCGTCAACATGTCCCCAGTCTTATACAGTTTGTTTGAGATGATCAACTAGGTACCTCACATTTGAATTCTTTGAGGAAGCATACAACGAAAGGAAACTGAAGTGGAAGGTTTTTGATGACGTTACTCTTATTTTGAAATTCAAATACTTGTGGGAGTATATCACAAATTTAGCTCAGTGGTTGTTTAAACCATAGTACAATGAAAGCATAGAAATAAACCTTACGTCAACATCTAGAGGAGTAGAGGGGAAATGATGAGTAACAGGTGTCAAAATAATATAATAATAACCTATGCTATTCTTGGGTAGGGGTCCAAAAAAGTTCAGGGCAAAAGATAGATGATTTATAAAGCAATGTGAACCTCACCTTACTTGGAATAAAGTTTCCTCGCAATTTCGTACCATCGGTCAGAGGGTCGATATATTGCATTGTCAACATGTCTCCATCAGTCTTACACTTCGTTTGAGATTATTAACTAGGTACTTCACATTTGAATTCGTTGAGGAAGCATACAAGGAAAGGAGACTGAAGTAGTAGGTTTTTGATGACGTTACTCTCATTTTGAAATTCAATTTCGTTTTTATACATCACAAATTTAGCTCAGTGGTGGTGTGAACCCGAGTGTAAACCACACTGTAAACCACACTAGAGGAGGAGAAAAGATGATGCGAATAACAGGTGTCGAAATGACATTATGTGATTATCGAGGTGATGATGATCGTGATTCCAATTTTTTCATTGAGTAACATATGCTTTGCTTGGGTTTGGGTAGGAGCAGTAAAGAGACATTATACGTTCTTAAACAGTTCATGGCAAAGATATGTAATTTATGTAGCAAAGCAAACCTTACCTGGAATCAAATTTCGTTCCATCGGTCAGAGTGCCGGTATAGTGCATCGTCAACATGTCCCCAGTCTTGGACTTGACCTCACAGGAATCCGGCTTGTACAACACCTCAACTTTCAAATCTTCAGCGCCACGCGCGCAAACGACAAGAATCGCGAAAAAACAGATGCCGACAAACATGTTTCCAGAGCCAGACTAGATGCGCCACCAAAGTTTCCAGCAGAACTGAATGAATGAAACGCGAGAAGAGTTGCCACGAGACTTTGCCACGCTGCAAGCGCCAACGTCACTTTAGAGCCTAGGGCGAGCACCATGTGAGAAGTCGAGTTTGGCCGATCGTCGCAGATGATAGTACACTATTAGGGGATTAGGGGTGAGCGATAGTGATTCTGGATTATCGATTATCCATATTATCGATGAATGTATAGGCCTGTTCGTTTGTCATTCTCACCCTGCTAAAAAGTGATGTGAGCAATATTTTTTGATGTTCGTTTGTTTCTAGCAATTGATGATTGAGTGTTCGTTAGACTGGAGCAAGTTGCCATAGATCACTGGAAGCAGGATTTATTTGCTCCGCGAATTATCAGATAGCAGAAAAATCAAATCAGATTGATCAAGTTGGATGACGAATGAAAACAAATAAAATGGCGAAAAAGGCAACAATAATGTTTAAATATGACAAAAAAGAGTAGAATTGTTGACATTGCCGAGGTAATAGACGCGAATTTGGACATCATCTTCGAATAATGACAACGGTTTTATCATTTTATCAACCAAAACCAAATCGAAACAAATTTGGAAATAGTTAAGTTCAGAAATGATTTGTGCCACTGCTTTGTGCACGTTTGAGTTTTCTGTTTGTTTGAGTTGAGCAACAGATTAATGCTCCTACTTTTTTTTAGCCCTCCACTTGAAAAATGACTCAAAGGTTCTACACCTTATGCACTTTCATTTCTTGAGTTGCTAATTGCTCTAGAGTTTTATTTCTTGTTCTGCTCATTTAGAATCCGACCATTATGAAGAATGTTGCTCAAAAATAAACTGTGATTATGAATGATTGCATGCCTAGGTTATGGCTGATAATACTGGGTGGTTCGATATTTCTCTTGGAAAATTAAGTAATAATAATTATCATTTATAAAATCCCAAGGCTATTGATAATTTCTTTCGAATGCGAGTTGCTTGCTTACAGCCCAATGACAATACATGAGAATTTATCAATAGTTCGGGAATATTCAGTAAGAACATTTTTTTCATAGAATTGGAGTCGACTCATTTCCAATACTTCCAAATCTACTCGAAGTGACTGACATTTCGGAAATTTGATCGAGTTAGTCAGCTAATATTTTCGCGATTAGCACAGGTTGTTTGTCTGTACTGGTCTCTTGGTCACAAACACGTTGATATGATAGGTTCACATTACATGGAAAAAAATTTCGCAGAAATAACCTGGTGGTTTTACTGATATAAAAGGCTTACTGAACATTATTGCTTTTCGCAATATCAAAAAAATGAAAGGATATTCCAATAAAAAATGTTTGTGTCCACGAGTTATTGGTGTGTTGTCAAGAACAACAATTACTTATTATTGTTACTTCATATTTTCATAATTATGTCAATAAGTTATTGCTGGGCCACCCTGTTTACTACATTCATACCTCGAATGTCTGTAATAGTATTACGTGGTATTACCCCCTGCATCGTGTGATCAACTTATTATTCATCAGATCAGCAGGAGAGGAGTAACTATACTTTTCAGAAGCTCTAGATTTCCGTTCGGTTATATTCGACTCCTCAGCTGGTGCCCTCCCTAGACCTAGTAAACGTCACACTGATGTTGTCTCGCTCGCTCTCTCCTACCGAGCGTTGTCTACGTAGCTGTCGCGGGAACAAGGTCCGATTAAAATTTCGAAAGCCACAGGTCCGATCCCGATTGGTCCACGGCGCACGTGACTTTATGGTTGTTTGATGAACTGCAGCTAATACACATCGCTCCTATGTCTTGGATTTGCATATGAACCAGGCGATAGCGTACAAAAAATCAACTTTACTACTTTCCAAATGAAAAGGTAGGTGACAGTATGTTTACTCCATTGACAAAATAAATATGTGGCGCCCAACATGACACCATCTGAATACTTGCATGTTAACCCACCAGTCTTATCCACTGAACTAGATCACATAACTAATAGATCTAGGATGAATAGAGTTGCCCCAATTGTCAGCAGGAGCCAGACAGTACCGGGTGAACAAATGAAAACGGCTGTCATCAATCCTTTTTCCAACTTTGATCGTCAATATCTTCCGTTAATTAGCGAAAAGCTATCATGTTGCAGGTTTCGTTGGTCTGTTGAAATTTAGTTTCTCTATTTGATCGTGTAATAATATGCATACATTACATTTTTAATTCACGATATCTATCGATACTCCAGATCACGCTTCACGCCTACAGCCGTTTTTAGTTATTGTTCACCTGGGTATACTGTTTCGACCCACCAGGCCTCATCAGCCGCTGTCGGTCTGCTGACAACTGGGACAACTCAACACTTCGTGTATACCAGCAAACATTTTGATAAAGGACTTTTTTTATGTTCTGGTTCCCACGAAAAGGGATATCCTGTAATGTTCAGAGAACATCGTGAGAACCAAGGGAAATAAGGTAGGAATTGGTTTTCTTCTTACATTTCTGGAGGTTATATGCCTCGGGGAACACCTCCCTTGGTGTTCCAGAGCCTTGCTGTTCGTACGAGTCTTTGGAAAGAGATGTTCTGCAGGTCTCCAAAGTGACCACGAAGGGATGCGAAGCCTCAACTCGACGGGCTAATCTCGCGGGGACTGCCAAAGAAGGAACAATTGTTGATATTTCAGAGGAGCATCGTCCATGAAAATATCTATAAAATAGAGCCAGATCGCCAACTTTTCTACGGTGTCCCAGAGAAGTGAGTGAGTTTGTAAATGATCCCATATGCGGGACTTTGTATAGTACACTGCGGCCGGTAGCTGATGGTCTCAGTGCTGGGTAATCAGCAATCATATTTAATCTCTGGTAGAAGTCCATGTTTGCTCAGTGTGGAGTGGAATTTTTCAAAAGGAAGAAGGAAAGCTCATCTATACCACCTCATTACTGATGTGTACATGTTTCGGACTTATAAAAGTTCATCTTCAGTCGTTGTTAGAAGTTACTACAAGCGAAGGCATGAGAAAATATACGTATTATAAAAAACCAAAAGTTGAATTACAATGCATGGAGGTGAAACGATATTTTAAATTGCAAGCCGATGTCTATCATCATAATATCGTGGTTATATTGATGGACAGAGGTTGGGAATAAACGAGTTTTCATCAAAAGTGAAGGCCTCGTGCCCTGAGAACGCGCACTTATAGAATGACATTCTGGACTTGACATTTGATTCTATACATACATTTTCTACACTTAAATTGTATTCACTCAGGATGACTTGTACAAAGAAGACCTTTTATGAGATACATCGACCGACCGTTTCGTTCTGCTGCCGATGAATGAGTCCCCGTCAATGGGACTTCAATCGCGTTTGTTGATGAAGGAACCAATGAATCGCCCGCTCATGATATAGCGTGATGTGACGTTCCTAGCTGTTCCATTTATTTACGGGATGATTTATACTTCGTCGCTCACAATATATAAGTATAAATCAAATTGTCAAAATAAAAAACGAACTTGTTGCATGCTGCAGTTTCTGTGTTTAGGAAGATATAGATTAGATACTAGTTACGTGTTGAATGAAATAAGACTCATTTTGTAAAACTGGATTAATAATTCTGATTGATACAATGAATTTTCTTCGATCTTCTGATGGAGGGTAATTATCCCCATCAACCAACAGTTTAAGAGAATTATACCAAGCAGAGAGGAGAAATTACTCGAAGAAGTCGAAATTTACTAATTTCCGACAAAACATTTTACCTTTATGCCCTGAGTAACTAGAAAGTTATGGATTAGGTTGTAAAATGCCTGGTTAGGACCTCAACATTTTCTATAAAAACCATCAACTTTATAGACAAATTGCATAGTTGGAAACTACTCATTACAGACTTCAAACATAACTTCATGGTCCTAGTGAGCATTTAGTTATCAATTGGGTAATATTTAACATCAAAATTACCAGTAAAGTCTTCAAGGCCCTCGAACTATCAGGATATTTATTGGAGTTGAAATTAACCAAATTCTAACTTCATAAACGTTCATATAGTCAGAGAATAATCAGATGGAGAAAATAAGTCGGATTTATACTCTGTTTTACCTATTTTTGACCAATTGAGTCGAAGGATTTTCTTAGACTTTTTTTAAATAATCAGCACCAACTTCATGTCCGATTAGGGCAAGATTACCACTATGATATCCTTATAGAACGAAGTGTCCTTGAGAGAGCCGAGAATACCAAAATTAATCCTAAAATCATGTTCTCAAAGTTGATATTGACCCTGGTGCTTTGAGGTCGGCAAATGTTTCGAAATGATCATTAATTTCTGAAAAAATTAAAAAACTGGAGACAAGCGCAATGTATGAGTTTTGAATGTTTTATTCTTTATTACCAGTGAGTGGTTCAGGTAGCTTACCGCTTGAACGCTTCTGAAGCAAATCATGATATCTTTCTATACATTACGATGATGTTTGATCAACTAAACCAGCGATTTATTTTGACATTCGAAGTTTCACTTCTACTTATTCCATTGGTCAGATCAGAATGCATATTTCAGATAACTTTTATAGAAAAAAAACAGGTATCAATTATTACACTTCGGTTAAGAACGTACAAAGATGGCAAATGTACTAAAAGTGTACTAGAACGGCAACACTGTTTGAAAGATGACAACACGGCGATGGACTTTTCTGATTCGCTGAAAAATGGAACCTGTCATTCAGCGAACAATTAGAAAACATACCGTGGTATATTGTTAAATTTGAAGTAAATAAGACGTAATATTCACTTTGGCCAAATAAGTCGTTGACCTATTCTAAGGTCGAAATGACGTATATTATACCTAAAATGTTTGTTGGGTAATACCCTCCCTTCTTGTATATATATGCGCCTGTCATCGATTCAATACGAATTCGACATTTACCTAATTTGAAGTTCGAAATAGCCAAAATGCTCAAAGTGGAGGGAAATGTTGAACAAATATTACAACTTAAAGTCATATCCAAACATTTTGATATTGAATTAACAACAATGGTAGGTCAGGTAGGTAGATGACGGGGTAGACAACTGGTTTTCTGGATAATGCCAACAAAACAACTACCATTAAT